GAGAGCAAAGTTTAAGCCAGGCTTGTCAAGACAGGTGCCTAGTGGGATTTAAAAAGTTACATTGGTTCTTCCACAGACTTACTTAATAATTGACTTGTTCATCATCTTTCTGTAGGTTAGATTCCTGTAGATTAGATTCCTGATTCTGTGATGTCCTGCTCCAGTCATGAGATCTTGAATTTTACAACTACCTGCTTAAAAATGCCTCTTAAAAAAACCCCAAAAACTCAAACTTAAAAAAAAAAAAAAAATCAGCCACTTACATGAGTACCAGAAACCAACCACTGTTGCGTCCAGAATCTGGCTGTTATTATTGTAATGTATGTGCTATATGAGTACGGATAAAATAGAATGGTAGGAGTCACAGACTTTTAAGTATATATGCAGCTGATGCTAACTTCTTTGAACAGTCTCAAAATCTGTGATTTAGCCACAGAATTTTGTTAATTATACAAAATAATGAATGAATAAATTACTTTTAAAGAGATACATTTATGTGATGTATTCCATAACGTTTACAGTCAAATGTGTCAAATGTAGCTTATGTAGTAAAAAAAAGGTGTTACAAATTATGTTACAGTCTCATATTGACATGCTATACTTTGTAGGCATAATTTTCATGCTAAGGAGACTTGTTCTTTAGTCCAATACATTTTATTTTAGCAACATATATAATACAAGAAGAGTCAGTGTAGTTGTAACTGTGTTGCCAAAATTGCAGTGGTTCACACTAAATAAATTAGAGTATTAGAACTATACATGTCATAAATTTAAAACTCCGAAATAATGCCATGTGTGATACCAAACTGAGCAAGTATTCAAACAGCATGTTTGGGGGCTTTGAGAAAAGCATCCAGATCCAATTGGAACCATTGATTGAGGGCTGTAGAGTTTCCTTTTTACTTTCTTATATACGTTGCTAGATATTTTATATTTTAAACATTCCCCTTTCTCATTGTTTGAAACTGAAATGCGATTTTAAAATTCTTTTTTAATATCCTGATCCTTCTCTGGCTCCATTTAAATCAATGGCAAGTAATTTGTGTAATAAAATGACCAGTATTAGCTATAATTCTTGAAGAATTACTTTTAGAAATACTTTTCTATGCATCTTTTCAGCGTGTAAGCTAACATCTGTACTGCTTGTATAGTGATTGAACTATTGCTTTTAATACCATTTATTATTTCTGTAGATATAGTTAAAACTGTGTAGGGCTTAGACTCTAATAAATAGATAGTGCATATTGTACGAATATTTCTTGCTTGTAGGAAGCAAGACAGTAGCTTACAGTTTAACAGTGGGTGCATTTGTGGGTGAAATTCAGTACTGGGAAGGGGGCCAGTTCCCGGTGATTTCATTCTTCAGTATAGAACATTAATGCAGAAATCTTGCACTAGCCAAAGGAAACCAACTCTCCTGACCCTAATCATCCAAAATGACTCGATGGCTAGAAGCCACAAGACGTTGAGCAGGCAGCCTGGGGAGCCAGGGAGCGGGGAAGCCCGGGAGCAGGTAGCAGCTGGCACTGGCTCCTCCAGCAAAGGGGAGGAGGTGGTGCGGAGGAGGGCTTGGGCAGGCTGCTCAGCAGCCTTGAGACACTGCCAGCTCTGGCAGCCGGCGGCTCACATTCCCCTGCAGCCAGGCTCCTACGTGCATACTCTTAGCAGGGCCCTTGTGCTTGAACTGTTTGGGAATGACAGGTTTAACTTCCCTGGTTCTCATCCTGTAAAAAGAAGTATTATTTCCCATATGTAGTCTGTTGTAATACTAGTGTTGCTGCAATGTAAGTGCTCTATTTATTCAATTTCCCTCGAGGTACTCTGTCTTAGGACAAGAAAGCATCAAACCATACTTCAAAACTTAATCAAATATATTTCATATAGAATTATTATGTGTTAAAACAGTATAATACAGCTTAATGTGCCTTTCTAAATAACTGATCCCAAGCATGGTAAAGATAAGAAGCTGGAACACGATGACTTGTCCTTCCAACTTACGTATTGTCTTTTGTTCAGAAAAAGGGTGGAGTTAAAAAGGCAGGCAGTAGGGATTTCACCTTTGTTGATAATCCATGAAATACCTTAGAATAAATCCAATTCTAAGTTTAGTTCCCCCTAAAGGAACAGTAACTGAAATTCAACAGAAAAACAGATGTTATGTTTTAAATGTACTTTCCTCAGCACTGTATTCAACATTCAGGTTAGCAGCTGAATCTCCTTCCACATTAGTCAACCAGTTTGTAATTGATTTCTGTATGAGACTGATTGATTGCATAACTTGAACCTTGGCTACACCTTCTTGCCTTCAGTTAAGCTATTTCTTCTCCATGTTTTCTTAAATTTATTCTAGTTGGAAGCTAGTTGGTTTTTCAGTGTTTCATAACGGAAAAGGAGCAGAACACATAAAATCAGGAAGAAATAAATTGTTATTCTCCCTGTCCAAACTAAAGAGTTTCAGAGCAGGATTCTGGACTTGAGGAGAAGTATACTGTGACCACAATGTTTTCCTGTTGCCAAGCCCTGTGGTAGATACTGTATTCTTGTTGTGGTGACGAACTAGGTTCCTACACCACAAGTAAATGTTGTCCCTACAAAATGGAATAATTCTAAACTCAGCATGATAGTTAATGCTCTTGGGTTTCAGAAAACTGGGTCTTAAACAGCAAACCAAACAACCTATTTTGATTCAGTGCTGTGGCGTTGGCTAGTTAGAATCTTGCTTTTTGTGCAGTGAAAAAATTATCTCATGCCACTCACTGTTGTTCACTGATGCTGTGAAATGCAAGAGAATTCCAGGCACATGTAAGAAAATATCAACTTGCCACCAAAGATTTACTGGTGAGGCAACGGTCAAATTCTTTCCTTATAGACAATTCTAAGCCTGGAACAGCTTCCTTGTCTCCAGCAGATGAGAACGAAATCTGGCTCATTTAATCTAATTTTGTCTCCACCAACAGATCCTTCTCTCTAGTTCTGGTCTGCAGAGCTGATTTTTATAATAGCTTCAATATGAAAAAAAAAAGTTAAATTAAAAAATCTCAGCATAGAGAGCCTGCAATGCTTCCTTTGGATGTTTTGTAACTCCCACTGTTAACCAGTAACTGTGCGATGTTTTTATTTTGATAATGATGTCTGGAATACTGGAAAATCTAAAATTTGCTCAGACAAAATGATTTATCTTGGAATAACAGGATCAGCATCTCAGCTGGGGCTTCTGGATGCTACTGTACTACAAACAAAATAAAAAATCAGAGTCAGCTGAAATTAATAGTATATTGGAGACATGTCCTTATTCTCCTCGCACATGGAAGAACGTGTTGAGGATATTAAATCAGAACACAATGAATTGAGAGAAATGGATTTTTCCATAAATATCAAACACGTTTGATAGCAGCTATCACTAGTAACCAGCAGGGCTTCTTAAAAATACTGCTACAGCGTTCTTAATGGATGGTTTTCCTTGTGGCTACGTAGGCATGTGTACTGCGCTAGCTCCCCCCTCCTCTTGCGCTGCAATACGTAGGAAGCTATTATTCCCAAATGGAGCATTTGCTTGCTGACATCACATGCGGTAGGATCCTTTTGTTTGCCTGTGTCTCCTGCATCGCAATGTTTGTCTGAGTCACAAATCCCGCCGCCTTTCTTCCTCTATGTCATGCCTGCTTGAGAGCTTCTCCCTGACTCAGAGTTTTAAAATTTTGACACAGCCCAGTTTGCTGCATGGCAATTGAGTACTTTTCCCTTTAATATTTTATTATGTAATTTACGTCTAAACACTATAATGATCCAAAAATCACTGCCACTTTTTTGCAGCTTTTTGAATAGAGAGGTTTTGTGACTCAGATTCGGCACTGAATTTTGTTTCAAGGCAAAGTCAGTCTAGTGTTACTAAATTAAAAATTAAAGATAGTGACTCCCACAACTTGAATTCTCCATTTAGCCTGCTGGCTGAGTTTCCTCAGCTATAACATTATCAAGCACTATGCCAGAAAGGGGTCATACATGTGCATGTGTACAGACAAACGCTTCTCATAATTGAATTACTGTTTTGCACTGCAGTACCTTTCTTCTCCTCTAATAATCATATCGATTTGTTTTCTCTTAATAAAAAGAGGACAAATCCCTGCTGTATTTTCAGTGTACATTCATTTTATTTGGTTTAGATTCTGGAGCTGCTAATATATTGCTGGTGTCTAGGAAGACTGGGTTTCCTCTTTATTAAAGGCACGAACAAAACAGATCCTGAGAATCTTCATTCTGAACGTTTTGGCAAAAGAAGAACATGGAAGCAAAGGGATGTGCAGCAGTTTGGTTCAAGCTTGAGTGATGGTAAAATATTACTTGCTTACTAAGATGGGAACATAAAATTACCATGCTAGATTAAATCTTCTGTCCTTCAGATCTAGTCTTTCATCTCTGTTGTTACCACTACAAGATAAATAAGAAGTTCAAAACACTGCTTTCATTGTCCTTGACCAAGGACTTTGCAGGAGGTAAGGGCTAATGCCCCAATCTGGCATAGCATGGGGGCAGGTATTTGTGTTAAAGCATCCATCTGCAGCTCCACTGCCTTCTGCCCTGGTCTGAGGCATGTGAGCAGACTGCTGCATGAAAACTTGTTAGAATTCAGATACACACAAAACCAGATGAGTGATCAAGACCTGTGTCCTTAAATGTACCGTATTTGATGCTCACATTTCATTGGTTTTTTACCTAGAGTAAAAGTAGTTGGATCCTCCATCTCCCCCCAAAAAGCTGAAGCCTTTTGTTATAGAAAACATAGATTTTTATTATAAAAGTAAAATTATGCCATACAGAAAGGAATTTCCTGTGTCAGAAATTTGCATATTGCAGTCTTAATGTTAAAATAATGTCCAGAGCAGGAGTTTAAGTTAAGACTCTCTCAGGCTACCTTTGGTTGCATGTTCACTATGCAACTGTTCTGATGTAGCACACATTTTTTAACATTCAACTTTCGAATTGCTGTTACTTTTCCTCTTCTCTCCGTGGCCGTTTGCGAGGGTTCATTTCAGTATCTTCTGCATTCTGAGTGACAGCTGGAGGCTGCACATCTCGGAAGCCATGAGACTGTAACATATAAGCAAAATCACGTGGTAACACTTTTATGGATATAAAGTATGAGTAACTAGTTCCCAGAAGATCAGAATAAGGTATGATGCTGTCATTTATTTTAGATGAGCAGCCACAGAACGTTTATAGACCAGGCTAAGCTCAGAACTGCAAGCTTTTCAACACACATGCCAACTAATTAAAGTGCATCTCCTCCTTTTATTTTTTAAAGATACTTTATTTTCACCAACCAGGCTATCATTTTCATTTTACCACTAATAAACCCCATGGCTATGAAGCACTGCTTCTCTGTAAATTAACTTATGTTGCCTATTTAAATAAATTAAAAGCCAAATCCTTCAGCCCTTATTCAAGCTCCCACAGAAGCAAGGAGATGACTGGATTAATTGCCTCAAGTCATTCTCAGAAACAAAACTGAATTTCTAAAACGTAGGATTTTTTTTGTTTCCTGTATCTCCTTAATGAACTGCAAACACCAATGAGACATTGTAAGAGAAGAGCCTATCTGGATCAGTCTCTAGACTGTAAAGACTGTTCCAGCATAGTAATTTATGGGACACAATGGGATAAGAACCTTTAACTGCCAAAAAGTAAATGTAGAAGTGAAAACTAGATGCTGCTACTCAGGAGAGAGCTTAAAGCGATCTATTTGGCTTAGTACCATTTGTATTTTCTGTTACCTTGGCTCACAATTTAATGATTTTAAAATACGAAAAATCTGGAAAATCAGTTAAACGTCATCAATGCAGATGGAGATACTGAGATGCTATGTGAAGCCTGCAACTGCCTGTCTTCCCATCTCCAAACGCTGTGCAGGGAGCACTGCTGACAGCTCAGTGAAGGCTCTCACTGCAGCGCAGACTTAAGAGAGGAAAAGGGGTTAATCAGGAAAAGAAATCGCTTTGGAGATCCTAAATGCTCAGGTAGAGACAATGTGGGGATGAAATCGTTTCAGGAAAGCCGATGTTTTAGGTTGGTGGGGTGTGAAAAAGCAGGTAGAATTACTACCAGACATGTGACTTCTCTAAAATGCCAGTGTGTCCCACACCAAGATCAAGCCAAAGCAAAACCCAATCAAAATGTTTTGCTTAAGTCTCCCATCTCTGTATTTCTATTTCTAAATGCCTCACCTCACACAGCCTGCTATGGTTTTAAAGGAACAAACAGCAAGAGGTGCCACAAGGGCAGAATTTGTGCGGTCCCTCTGCTATTATAAGCAACTCAAGTGTTACTCTAAATAGCCTAATGGGGAATCTTCAAGTTTAATGTTTCACTGCTGCTTACATCCAATCTCTGCCATTTCCCTTAGGCACAAAGGTGGATCTGTAGCCAAGAAGCCACTTAATCCAGCATGCTAGACTCCCAGTGAAAGCATTCCAATGGTTATAAAGGCCAGCACACGATAAAGTAGGCTGCTTAGTATGGATGTTAGCCATTTAGTGACAGGCATGTACCTTATGGGCATAGCACCTCAAAAATACAAGAATTTGGTGTATATTTGTGAAGCTTGTTAGTGGTTTTTAGATGGTAAGAACGTGGCTAATGGAACCAAGGACCTACAAAGCTCAGATAGTCTATGGTCGTTTTGAATTGTTCTTTAGCATCTTCTGGCATCTACAGACTGCATCAAGATTGGCAAAGGTAGCTGGCTTCATTACTTGGAGCAGTATTCTCACTGCTAGTCTGGCAGATACTCCACAGTTCAGGGAAATACCGACAATTCCTACCCAGAATATAGGTTCTGGGTCTCTTATCTTTCACGATGAAATAAAACAGGCCACGTTACCTGGGAAATTTAGGTGAATCAGATGATCTTTTTACTCCCTTGTGCATAAATCGATTTACATTTCTATACCCTGCACTTAAGAAAGAATCCTTATCAGCCTGTGAAGGAAACTATTTCATTTGATAGGTGCTCCACAGCTTCCACACTTGCTCAGAGTGGTGACCGACTTGCCAGTAAGCTGGGAAGGACAAAGCTGAAAAAGAACTTGAGCTTGGTCACTAAGTTACACACTTCTCCATTGGCTTACAGGCACTGAACAGCCAGTTTGTCAATGGTACCAAAGTATCCAATTTGTGTAAGCCTAAACATCTTTGAGGATCTAGGCTCGAGAAATTAATTATTTTTTTAATTATCTTTTCTTGTATGCTGGTTATACATAGATGTGCTAGATCAGATTTGGAAACGCTGAACATGTATTCACATCTTCCAGTTTAACTACAGAGATGGAAATGAGAAATGACAACAGCAGACTGTTACCATCAGACCTGAATTTCATGAAAGAAACAGGGATAATAAATTTTTTACTTACAGAAACGGTCTGCTGAAGCAGCTCAACAGGATTAAGGGAAAAAACACAGGGATAATCTTAAGTTTTAACTAATCTTTGATTAGGATACACTCTCAACTGTATTTCAAGATTGTGTGCATTCACACAGAAGAAGAGAGCATAGCTGTTCTGTAAGGCATATAAAACTGAAAGGGAAAGGCAACTAAGATAAAATCCATCTGTTTGTCAGCTGGAGAGAAAGGGCTGCATGTTCACATCACACGATCCAAACAATCTTGGGATGTAGTCCCACTTCACCCTTCCAGTCTTTACAGAACTAAGAATATATATATATATGTGCAGTATTTCTGCTGTCCAGGTGAATATATTCAGGAGTGAAAAAAATCTGATTTCTGTTCAATAGTTTGAAGATACCATCTTATGGCAGCATTAAAATCCGCAGGAAATGCTATGGCAACGTGTTTCCATGAGGACACATAGCAAATAGTTATGGCATGTACCTATGTATCTGACATTTGAAGATATGAGAGTTGAGTGGTGGGGTTTTTTTAAACCTAAATACAGCTTAGACAGTATGTATTCTCATTAATATGCATCTAAGCTCTCCACAAAAGAAAATAATCATAGGATTTAACTAGGGATGAATAAGGACTCCAGCCATAAGCTGGAAGCTCCTCATATGATAGTGACAGAAAAGTCTGTACATATTGGCTGGTCATGGGGTCACTGGTAGGATGGAGTGATGAAAGAGATAAATACAACCTAGGTTATATCAGGCAATGCACTTAAAGCAGAGATGTGAAAATATGTGTGGCACAAAGCATTGGTGAGAGCTCATGTATGATTCTGGTCACCCTTGTCCTAAAAAGATAAACTCAACTGGAACAGATGCAGAGAAAAGCCACTAGGGAAACAATAACCTACCTGACAAGGGAGAAAACAGCTTGGCTTGTTCAAGTCTCCCAAAGTGAAAGCTCAGAGAGTGCATGATTGTTCTCTGTAATTGCACTTAGGCCAAAAGTTAACATCAAGGGCAGATAAAATAAGCAGTACTAGCACAAGAACAGATGGGAACAGGCTGCCTGTAGATTTGATCTGGAAATCAAAATGTTTTAACTCTGAGAGGACTAACATGCCGGGTCATTTTTCTAAAGAGAAAAGGTGCAAAATATTCATAAACCTGGAGACATCCCAGTATCACCGGTTACTTTCAGAAGGCAACTGAAAGGCAACACTAAGAAACCAAACGTCATTCTCAGACTTGTCTACGTGTCTGAAAATTCCTTTACAGATAACAGTTTGCTCCCATCTCTGTATCTCCATCCCGTAAGAAATACTAACTGTAATGTGATATGGTATGGTTGACTCCTTCTGACTCGGTGATTTGTACAACGTTGCCAACCTGGTTAAACAAAAAACAGGTAATTATGATTAGTGAATACAATAATAAAAATTCCAAGTAACCAAATGACCAGACCCAAGTTTTCCCACAATCACGGGGTAGGTGACCACTGAAATTCTTATGTATGCATTTTCATGTAGGTCATTTAAACTGTGGATGCCAAATTTCCATCCTTACATGACCTGTCAGCTCAAATACAATACAGACCTACTAAAAAGAGTGAACGGTTAATTAGCTTGTTTCATCAAAGTATTTGATCACATTTTGGAACAATATTCATTATGAATTAATTCCAAATGCCACTTCCTTAAAATGCAAACAAAAAAGGTTCTGAGCACAACTCTTTCGTACTCCATTAAGCAATCATTTGTTCATTGACCTCTCAAAGTTGGGACATACCCTCAAGAATTCAAATATTTCTAGGGAGTTTTTTTCTAGAGATTTCACAAGCCTGTCAATATAACCTAGTGGATGGAGAATAAGATGTTCTATTTCTAAGCCTGACCTTGCCACTGACGTACAGCATAACCTTGAGAAAATCGGTTCCCTTTTACTTCTCCTCTACCACTTCCTTGATTTTGTGCATTTAGACTCTAAGCGATACATCTTGATTTGTGCTTATACAGCACCTAGCCAATAGATGTTTGCATAATATAGATAGGAGACTGCAGAGCAACTCAAAAGCAAGGGATTTTTCAACCAGTCCCAGGGCTGCTAGTGTGCACCAAGCCCACCTCCCCAAAACTTAGACTTACGTAAAGCCAATATAGAAAGTATTCACTCTCTGTATCAAGACACCCTGCCAAAGATCCTGTTAATTATTTTGGGGTTTTTTTTTCCTCCCTGAGGTGCCATTCTATTAGAGAGCACGTAATTACAGCCTGAGGAACACTGCCACTTCATATTAACTACACAGGGAATTCCTCAGAACATTTAAGTGGTGGGTTATACTTTACAAAATAGCCTAAATCTGAAGCTGCAGAAGCCATACTTTTACAAGTGCTCAGCTGGAGCGCTGCTGCATGCCTCTGACTCAACAGGATCCTTCCTCACAGCAATGAGAACCCTTATAATTAAGCTCTGACTTTTTCAGTAGCAGAGAGACAGGTATCATATTTGGCCAAAGCACAATTTAAAAGGAAAAAAAAAAAAAGGCAAATGGATTCTCAAATGGTCATCTTTGTGCCTCAGTAACCCAATATAAAAACAAACGCACGATGGATCGTCAGGTATAGGTAGGTAGTGTGAAAATGCAACAGAATGTAGCTCTTTCTGATTTTTACAGATAGGAAGCTGTAATTGGAATTGCTGTGCTTCTGCAGGTCCCACTCCATCTTAGCCGCATGTTTAGAACAGCAAATAAAACATGTTTGTCTATCTTTGGCTTGCTTTCTGGAACCTCTATCTACAACCTTCCTAGCTATGTTGCAGAAAAGCTCTTTACTTTTGATATATAAACTAACTTTTGTTCACTCTGCAATCATTATGTTGATGCAACGTCTGTCTTATAAAGGCTGTTAACTAATCAGTGATGTTAATTTAATTCCAAATTAAACAGCCCGCTGTAATCATTCTGCATTGCCTTCAAACTTAGAATTTAAAAAACAGAACTCCACAAGAAATTGTCACTGCATTTCTCTTTCAAGTTTTAACAAGCAAAACTATGCACAACAACATTCCAGTAGCATTTTTGTTCGCTGTTTGCAGAAGATTAGGGAATTGAAGCAAGGCTTCTTAATCTCAAGTTGCTGCATTGTGATATTATATACAAGACATTTAACTGACCAGGAAAGAGAAGTGAGCTTGCAATATAGTGAAGAGGGAAAAAAAGAACCAGGGAACTGCAACAGACAAAACTTCATACTGTTTTTAGAAGGGTCGTCCTCATTCCTTTGGGTTTCTAAAATCATCCTCCCTAGGTCAGCTCTGCACTGGGAGTAAATGCAGCTCTCTTTCCACCTCCTAGCAGGTCATGGTCTCTGCATAGCTGTCCAGGTTTGCAGAACCATCCTGCTCCATACAAAAGCAGAAAGGTCCAATGGCTGCCACTGAGGCTCAGGGGTCAGTAGGCTTACGGTCTGTCCTCCTGAGAATCACCATCTAGGTGGAAAGCCGCCTTTGGCACCTTTGGCTTTGTACTGACTGGGGCCTAAAAGACTGAAGCAAAGAAATTCTACTCCCTGCCTTCAAAATGCAGGTTGTAAAAAAAAATTTCTACTTAGCTACCAGATCCTAAATTCTTGCGTCTGAGCAACAGCCGTTAGGGTGTTGTATTTTGATGAGACATGGCATCTCATCAGAAAGAAAGTACAGCACTGCAGCAAGCTGACCATGGTGAGGAGGAGGAGCATGGCACTTCAGCCCACACCATCTTAGGCTGAACTAGAAAGCTCTTCTTGAGCCTCAGGAGCCTGGGACATGTTAGACCAAGGCCAGAAATCAAATTAAAATCCCTGCTTGGCCGCTAGAGCCAGTCTGAAAAAGATTCTCAAGTGTCACAGTTGTCAGTAGTATTATGTACCTCACCGGCCGACATTTTCACTTACCTCTGACTGTTGTCCCAGTGAAAGATTAAACGGACAGTAGCAGCATGTCCCCAGCTTTCTCCTGGGTGACACAAAATGACAGGCCATTTTATTTATCTCCTATAACAGCAGCATCATGAGTAAACTGAACTGAAATTAGACCAGTCTTCCAAAAAACTCACATGATTAAAACATATACACCTTTCTTGCAGTAATGAATCACATCTTTTTCATATGTGCAAGGATTCCACAACTAGTTTATCAAATACTCTGAGACAAGGAATAACCTCTGTACTCACAGTGTGTTTTATAGAAAGTTTGATGCAATACTTCCATATTTGTAGAAAATTTTGTATATACCTGATAAAGGACAGGTACTTGAATCTTGAAAACAGAGGCAGCATAGAGAAAAGATTTTTTAATTACTACTGAAGTAAATCCTACTTCAAAATTGCGATATTCTGTCTCTCAGGCATAATTATGAGCAAACATCACTCCCTTTGGGATACAAGCTTTGGGAGAAAGTCAATGATTATTAAAGTATTAAGGGCCCCTGAAGCAGTCTTCTGCTTCTGACAGCAAAATGGAAAAGAACACAACCAAAAGCAAAGGGCGGGGGGGCGTGGTGGAAAGAGAAGTTTGGATTGTTATCCTATTTCAGGGGAAACAGTCCTTCTGTTTCAGCTCACACCCAACCACAAGCTGAGTCAATTTATAGATAGTTTTATTGGGTGTTTTCCTCTGTTTATCCCAGGAGACAGTCAGTAGTCCAAAGATGGATTGCATTTTAAAACAGTCATTTTGGTTAAGTGCTGCAAGCCTCTCCTATTCACCTGCATACAGCCCTGTAACTTCTGAATCGCCTGTTGGTCTCCATCATGTCACCAGCCCCATCTGCTTCATGTGCTCTGGGATTCATTACAGCACAGAGAAGAAAAAAAATGATTCAACTGTAATGAAGACCTAGACCCTCTCGGCAGCTGGCCAGACCTTGCTCCACTATATCTAAGTTGAGATTAAAGATTTTGACTATCAGATAAGGTTCTGAGTCAGAGATCAAAACACGTTTTACAATGGGTAGAAATTCCACACCAGAATGTTTCCAACTCTATTCAATATGAGAGAAAAATGCTACTGTAAAATGACATATTTCTGAGTTAAACTGGCTGTAGATTAATATTTGACCTCCTTTCCAAATATACCCAGTAGGAATATCTAGGAACACGCAGCTTAGCTATCACTAGTGGGAAAGAAAGCTGTCCCCTTCATAAAGCTCTTGACTTAATACCTTGCAGCATCTGTGCTTTTTTTTTTTCATAATTAAGAACTTCCCTTCTGCTAGGAAGCTGAATAAGAGTTTAGAGATTAATGCTCTTGTGAAATCTTAGAAAAGGCGGTTTCTAAGGCTTACCAATCAATGGGGAAAAAAAAACTATTTAGGGGAGGCAATAGGATTGATTTTACTTGGGGTTTTGCTGCTGACCCCTCCCTCGATAGTTCCTTTGGCTACAACTGACCACGCAGGGGCAAGAAGTTCTTTAGCCTTTACAATGAGACTTGTTGAAATAGCATCCCTTTGGAGTGGGTCGTAAAAATCACCTTGTAATCCACCAGTTTGGTACCTGCACCCAGTCTATGGAATAAATTCACATCAAAATGAACACAGCTTTGTACCACTCTGGAATGCTCAGCTCGAGATATTGCTGTTTAGGATGAGGGGAATATCTCTTACCTTCAATATTTTACCAGCTGGTACGGAGTTTCATTTTTGCAAGAGTACACACTACTCAGTTTAACAATACTATGTGGTTACACACACATTCTGGTGAAAGTGGCAATCAGTTTACGGTCAATATGAGGTTACATCAAATTAAATGTTTGTAAAAGAAAACATGTGCAAGACAATACAGGATTATCTTTGAATTATAACCTACTCTGAATGTCTTCACATTCTTACCTATAACTCAATAAACACAACAGCTGTCAAACAAGTCTGGTTATTGGAAAAAAGACAGAATCTACTAGCTTTAACTGAGTTTGCAGCCAGAAAGGCTGCCAAAAGTAACAGATCAGAAAGCAAGAGGCAAAAATTACAAAAAGGCTCAGATACTGGAAGCTGGGTCTTTATCTGCATGCAGAACTCAAAATTGCACATTCTTCACATTCTTGAAGGAGATGGTCTGTATTTGTTCATTTTTATCTTACATCTGTGCCAAATGGTTCAATGCCTGTACAGACACTGAGAACATCTTTGCCTTTGTACTGTCCCCCTTCTTCTCCCTCCCCTCCAGAACAGGGGCATCATTACTTAGTTCACAGAAACTGAAGCTGTGGACAGGTAATTTCTGCCCTTTAAGTACATCATAAAACAATACAAAGTTACAACCTGAAATAAGATTTAAATGCTGATCTTTTTCCTAATTTGTCAAAATACTTCAGAAGAACTGTTCTATTTTCCCCCGTTGACCTCAGCAGAAGAGGCTATATGAGGTACTCTGCTCATTACAGGGCAAAATGGAGCAGCCTGTAAAGAACACTTAAACTCACTATGGGCAGGCTGGGGCTGAGGATCCCACACAGAACCTTCCTCTACATCACAACTGTAGAGAGCAATGGTTAGAGAGTTCCAGGTATGCAGCAAATATGAAACACCTTTGCAAATAATTAATGGAATGTGATCAAGTGTAACGGCAAAATAAACAATTTAAAGTGGTTTGGAGAGGCAGTGAATGATTCTCAGGGAATTTAGGAAATTGCAGCATAGTCTGAGGTATGCAACCATTAAGCTGTGTTCTTCTGTTAGTGCTTTAAGCTGCTCATCACCACATTCTTGCTAGTGGTTTACTGCCCCCAGGTCCATCCCTACATTTTTGGCATGATCATTCACTAGCCAATTTCAGTCTAAATTACCTGATTTATCAGAGGTTTACTTATTATTTAAATAGCTCAAGCTTACCTGGCCCACTTTTGGCAGAAATGGATTGGGAGACAAGCACATAAACAGCTCAGCCAGCATATAGGATGTGGCAGTGACCTCCAGCAGGGGTAGTGGCCTCCTTAGCTGACACAGCTGCAGCTGGAATAGAGGTAACTCCACAGCCCAAGATCCTCAGGGGAAGGCTGCAATACATTAGCTGCACGTCTAAAAACCTAGCTACTCAGAGAGATCTTAGTACCTAGTGCTTCCCCATAAAGGGTGAATTCAGTCATCTTAAGGAACACTGATCTAATATCAACTTTACTACTAAAAATTTTGGTTTAAAAAGGAAACAAAAATAAAAATCCAGCAACACTCTCAATCCCTGAGTTTCTGCAATTTGAAAATGTCATGACTGTTAAAAATATTTGTAATCCCTTTTCAAAAATTTAACCAGGATTCTCATCTGCACACCATGTTTGAGTTTAGAATAAAATTTGATAGTGGCTCATTATAATGACAACGCTGGCATAGATAAGCACTACTGTAGAGTTCCACAATGCCAGCAGTTCCAGATGGGTCCAATAGTTTCACCACAGATTCTGCTACACCACAGAAGTTCAGCAAACAATTTCATTTTCTTTGTACACATTGCCAAAAGAAAGGAAGTCACATATTTGAAGATTAACTCAGTTTTCAACTCACAAGCTAAACACCTACCTAAAGCAGGTACCAACGTGGACTGGCTTTGTCCAATCCTTGTTGTCATTTGGTTTGTCAGAACTACCTAAAAGAGGAAAAAAACGCAAACAAACAAGAAAACCTCCATAAAAGAAGCATACTGGTGGGAGGGAAGAGAGGGATTTTTCAAAAAGCTTTCATCAGATTACTGAGGCAAAACTCCTGCCTACTGTAATGAAGCTTTTGCATTAATAAAAAACTGTAAACGTGCCTCATCCTTCCTCAATAGCCAAAACAAAATAAAAGAAGCCTGCAAAATGTATTTTCAATTTGCATAGATGGTAGATTTCTTTCATTCAAGACTTTAAAGAAACTCCACACAACTTGTAGATTGCACCGCATTTGTACTAAATACTGTTTGGATCTGTATTTAGATGCACATGACTTGTACTAGCCCTCTGTAAAGAGATAGATTTCAGTCACTGTGGCATAAATGAACTTGGTGGTGCTGCTCAAAACATGCATAAGCCTAGTGATTAAGAGAATTTCTGCACCTTGTAGTCTAAAAATGCACAAGTGGGTACAATACAAAGCAGAATGAAAGTGAACAGACAGAGCGGGGGAGTGTTTTCGCAGCACGAATCACTCGTAGGAGGTTCACAGACAGTCTAGGTTAGATCCCTGGTAGAAGTGGGGGTGGGTGAGACAGAAAAGAGCCAGGAATATTAATTGCAAAGATCATTAAAAATGAAAAATAAAAAATTGTACGCATCTTAAACCCTAGGGGTTTTCATTGTTTGACATGCTTGTATGTTTCTTGCTTGAACAGTTAGAAGAGTGTGCTAGAGCAAGCGATTCCTCTGAGCACACAGGGCACACACCAAAACATTGACATAGCTGAAAGCCCCAAGACATATATTGCGTCTTTTAGAGAAGTAACTCATCATACCTGGATGCTAACAGCCCCAAACAGGCTCCCCATCTCACTGCTGGAGAAGGGCTGGTCTGGGCATCCCAGCACAACCCATCAAGTTCAGCTTTAGAAATGAAAGGAATGAACTTCCTACCATATTAGAGCATTCAGACTGCCCGGCTTTGCTGCCCGACAAGCCATCTCTGGCACGCAAGCTGAATTTAGACTGCTTGTAAGCTACATGGAACTAACTCCAAAAACTAACAAGAGGGCCACTCTCAGCTAAATCATTTCTGAAGCTCTGTGATTGATCACTTCTTTAGCAAGTGTTTATTTAGCAAGCGTTTGTACTAAACTGCTCACTTGTTCAGTAGAAAAAAGTTACATCTGTTTCCCCTGGGCAAAGACAAAAAGACTGTGCAATGACAACTGCTCCTGTCCAAGGTCACCAGGTGCCCAATTTATGAGTGAAAGCACTCAGTAAACTGGGGGCTGTGCAAATCAAGCAGTCATATAGCATTCCTCTCCCTTGGTGCCCACGCCAGCAGGAAGAAGCTTCACAACTCATGTCAGGGCAAGAAAA